CACCAAAAAGAAATCTGTAAACAAGGAGCATTCAAACCAAAACATGGATTTAGACTCAGGGGTATATTGTTACAAAGCATGCTATGTAGTGAGAAAATTATTGGTTACAATACAGATGCTCCTTGACTTACGAGTAGATTATATCCTGATAAATCCACCATAAGTTGAAAAAAAAAACATAAGTGGAAAATGCATTTAATACATCTAGCCTACCAAACATCATTGCTTAACCTATTCTATCTTAAATGTGCTCAGAACACTTACTTTAGCCTACAGTTAGGCAGAATCGTTTAACAAAGCCTATTGTTGAATATATCATGTTATTTATTGAATGCCATATCTCCAAGAAATGCAACAGAGGACATTGTAAAATATTGGTTGTTTACCCTGGCGATCATGTGTCTGACTGGGAGGTGCAACTCTCTACCCTTGCCCAGCATCACAAGAGAGTATCACATAGCCTCGGAAAGGATCAAAATTTGAAGTAAAGTTTCTGCTGAGTTCATATTGATTTCACCCCATCATAAAGTTGATAAATTGTAAGTCAAAGCATTGTAAGTCAGGGCTATCATAAAAATGACCCAGGTCAATTTAGCCTGATAAAATAAGCTAAATTAAGCTTTGTTTGTATGACTAAACTGGTTTTGTCTGTTCAGGGAATATTCAAGTCTAATCTCTGTTTTTTATTCTAACACAACCAAAATAATGTGAAGTAAAATTAGAAAAGTACATTTAGAATAGCATCAAAATATGTAAGATACCTAAAAATAAATTAATAAAATTTGGGCAGAATTTTATTATTATTATTATTGACTTTTTACCCAGAAGAAGGAAGAGAGATAGTTAGAAACATCAATCAGCTGCCTCCAGCACACCCCCTACTGGGGATGTGCCTGCAACCAAGGTACATGCCCTTGACCGGAATCGAACCTGGGACCTTTCAGTCCTCAGGCCAATGCTCTATCCACTGAGACAAACCAGTTTCGGCTTGGGCAGAATTTTTACACTGAAAATTTCAAAGCAGTGCTGAGACATTTTAAAATACTTAAATAAATGGAGAAATATTCCATCTTTATGTAGTAGGAAACTCAGTATTGGTAAAATATCAATTTCCCCAAAATTGAGCTATAGTGTTAGTAGAAATCCCAGAATTTTTTATTGGTTAAATGGATTCCGAAGTTTATATAAAAATGTAAATGTCTCAGATGTCAAAACTTATTATGAAGTAATATTAAGACATTTTGTATTAGAACAACAGTTTTCAAACTGTGTGCAGTGGCACACTGATGTGCCTCAAGAATTTTTAAAACATGCAATAACTGACTAGTCAGGTGCATTGACCTCTTCCTATAGGACTCACATATCTAGTTTCTTGGTTTATGACAAAAGCTTCACTGAAGTTAAGAGAGAGCATTTATTTTTAATCAACTATTAGGTAAACTGGATATCTGCATTAAAAAAAACATATTTAAAAGTTCATTTGAGTTAGATAATGTATCTACATGTATAAGCCAAATTTATCCAGCTTCTAGCAGAAAATCAAAGAGAATATCTTGACTTTGGAGTAGGCAAAATATGTTAGAACACAAATTAATAAGTTAGAATACATAATATTAAGAATTTATATTTATCAATACACCATTGAGAAAGAAAAAGCAAGCGATATACCGGTACTGCAAGAATTTATTCATAATAAATAAATCTTATGAAGCACTTGTATAAGTAACTGTTACAAATCAAAAAGGAAAAGGCACAAACAGCCCAATTTTTAAAATATGCAAAATAAGCATATTTTGAAGGAAGATATCACAAAGGAAGATGTCTAAGAGGCCAATATGCATAGGTTAAGGTGCTCTACATTATTACTTATCAGGGAAATGTCACAATGCAGAACCATCACACCCCTACCAGAATGGCCCAAATTAGAGACTGACAATACAAGTGTTGCCAAGGATGTGAAACAACTGGTGCTCTTCTATTTTGCCGGTGGGAATATAAATTGTTTCAGCCATTTTGGAAAACTAGCAGTAGCTGTTATAGCTAAATATAGCTCTATACTGTGAGTCCAGTTTGTATGTACCCAGAAAGGTAAAACATAAAAACCATCTACAAAGATGTATCTGAAGCAGTGAACCTCAGAAATATTTTGTTGAGCAAAAGTAGGTAGCCACAAATGAATTTATACTGTATGATTCCACTTATATGAAGTTTAAAATAGACAAAAAATAATTTGGGGTAATAGAAGCCAGGAAAATGGTTGCCTCTGTGTTGGTAGGAGTTAATTACTTAGAAGGGGCAAATGAAAATCTTCTGAAGTGATGGTAGTGTTTAATATCTTGAACTAGTGGTATTAATTCATATGTATATGTGTTTAAAAATTAATTGAACTACAATATGTGCTTAAGAGTTTTGTACTTCATTATTGTAAACAACTAATTCTTCAACAAATGAGTGCAAAGAAAAGGAAATATTTTAAAAGTTTTACCACGAAAATTTCCAAACAAATTTCTAGAGTACAAAAAACTCGGAATACACATTATCTTGTTTCAACATTATGCCTTTTTTTTTAAATCTCCCAATCTCCTCCACACTCAACTATGCCTTTTTTTGATAGCACAAATTTAACTGTCTTAATATCAGATTTAATTTATTCTGAGCACTTTTTTTACTTTTACTATTAAATGTAATTGCAACATTGAATTTTTCTATTTTCCTATACCTTTGTTTTTTGTTTTCCTGGCTTAGATGTGGAAGTAAATCTCTGCTGCTGCCTTATTCTGCACTAATTTGACTTGTGTATCTCAAAGGAGGTTGGGCCCTTTTTATTTGTGCTACACCTGAATCTAATATTTTTTAACCTAAATGAAAGAGAAATTTGAGGAATACTCTTCATCTTTTTTAATGGATGGGGACTTTATCTTTTATCTCAATTATTTTTTGACTACACTTAAAAATTTTTTTTCTTCCCTAGCCAATTTTACCTCCATTAAGCCATAGAAAAAGTTAATTGTTATAGTGTATTGGGTATATGTTCGTTCAATTCTTTCTTTACAAATTTCTCTCTGTAGGTAGATTTTTTAAAGCAGTATTTTATAACATTTTTTAAACAGGATAACTTAAAAACATTTGGTGAGATAAAAGCTTCACCATAACAAATTGGAAATTCATTTTTTGGATATTTTTGTATAAACTCTGGGGATTATCCAAATATCTGTTCCTGATTACATTTATTTTATGTTTCACATGTTTTTAATGTAATTTGCACTATATCAATGCTGAGTTTATTGTTCCTCTTTTATAATAGTTTACAGTAGTTTTCAGAGAAGAATAGTATTTAAGCAAGGTTAGCTTTTTATCAGAATACCTATGAGTGTTACCAGAGGTAGCAAACCCATTTCATCTCAGAAGGTTAACATTTGTACTTTAAGTTTTCTCTCTCTCTGACTTAATTATAACTTTTACAGTTGTCTGACTGAAGAATTTGGTAGTCATATTCTATAAGTTTTCTTGTGTAGCAGTCTATAACTTAAAAATCTAGTGATTGAGACTTTCTGTAACTAATTTTAGTAATGTGCCCAGTTGTTTATAGTTATGTATAAGAATATTATCACTTCAGCTCTTAGTTATTGTATATCTACTAATTATATCTACTTGATTATTTTATAGTTTTGTATATGTACAAGCAACCACTTGTGCTTGTGGCTAGAAAATATGAAAAATCCAGAGGTAGATTAAAAAGTATGTAAAAGTGAGAAGAATTTAAGTACAAGCTTAAATTGCTTAAATTGTTATTCAAAATAGATGCTTATTAATCTCTTGGAATATTTGCTTTAGCAACTGAAAATAGATGAAATAATGTTTGTAGGTTAAGTTGAAGTATAATTGGTTCATATATATATATATATATATATATATATATATATGAAAGTTTTCTAGTAGTATTTGTCATTATTACAAATTCATTTTGTCATGAAGTTTATGTTTCTGAATTTATAGCTCAAATATAATAATTATCAAAATTCTGTGACAAAAGAATTCTTTTACTAAAAGGAAATGTAGGCTAGATAATTATAGAAGTTTGTTTTAAAAGGAATTTTGAGAAACATTTTTAGGATATTTTGAGACATGTAAAGCTAAGTATTAAAGAATATAATGGGCTTATAAGAGTAATCAAGAGTTTCCTTTTAAATAGAAGGACAAATTGTATTGTTTCTCAACTAACTTACCTATTTCTAGAAAAGATCTTTTAAAAATTGTTTTATTTGTTTGGTATCTGAAACCTATATAATTTTATTAACCAATGTCACCCCAGTAAATTCAATAACAATTTTTTAAAAAATTATGCATTAATATAATTCTTGAGGGTGAGTTATTCTTAGTCAGTTTACTGAATTGGAAAAATATTTGCAACTCAGTGGTATGTGATAAGGGTTTAATATCCAAAATGTATAAAGAATTTTATAGCCCAGTATAACAATAACAACAAAAAAATCAGATTTGAAAGTGGGCAGAGGATATGACTAGACATCTTTTCAAAGAATACATACAGATGGCCAGTAGGTACATGAAAAGATGCTCAACATTACTAATTGTCAGAAAAATGCAAATGAAAGCACAATGAGATATCAACTCACACCTGTTAGAATGGTTATTGTGAAATAGACAAGAAGTAACAAGTGTTGGGGAGGATGTGGAGAAAAGAGAATCCTTCTACTATTGGTAGAAATGTAAATAGTACAACCACTATAGGGAACATGGAGGTTCCTCAGAAAATTAGGAAGATAATTACCATATGGCCCAGCAATTACAATTTGGGGTATTTATCTGTAGAAAACAAAAATATTTAACTTAAAAGATCCACACTATGTATTGTATTGTATTGTTATTTTGTTTAATCCATTGTTTCTTTGTAGGAATCTTCTGCAGCTTATTAATTGTGTGAGTTAAAACTAAGTCACATTCAAAATTCCGTTGATCTGGGCGCACAAAAACTGCCATACATGTCACAGTTTACTGAAAAAGAGCCAGCAGGTAAGTGGGGTGTCTCTGTCAATTTCTTTACATTGTGGACTTATATTTTTCCCTCCAGATACCTCAGTGTCATATATAACATGTGATTATGGTCATACTTAAGGCCAGTTTTCCTCCATATGTTAAATATTTAAAAGCTGCATTTCTAATTTTTTATTAGAAAAATTCAATTGTACTTTCCACTTTGGAGACTATTTCTTTGGAGTTATTATTAAGGGCACTGGTTGTAGATTCATATTATTGTATTATGGAGCAAACTACTTAAATACTTAATTTTAACCTTAAATTTTTTTATCTTTAAAATAAACTACACTATTTACCTCATTAGGTTGTTGAGGGGATTAAATAACATAATGTAATACTTGCTATTGTATTTTATAAGTACATGTTTGGTTTTCTTTCATGCTTGGAAGCAATTATATTTCTTATTTTAATGCAATAAAAATATGTAACTGTCATATTTATTAACTATCCCATATACTGTGGGATAATATTTTGTTTAGTTCCTGCATTGTATACATAAAATCTAATTGACTAAGTAAACTTACACTTAATACATATAAAATAATGTCATATTTAGTAAAAGATGCTATTGCTTATTACTATATATTTCTCAATCATCAAACTTAGTATTCAAGTTATTCAAATGTTGGAGGTTTTGCTTACCATATTGTATACCAATGGTAATTTTAAAGGTGGGGTAGCATGTATTTAACTTGGCTCATCATATTTTCTTTTAGAGAATTTTACCTGGCCCTAACTTTTTGGACTTATTTTTTGTGGGTCCAGTTGGTTCTTTTGGCATTATAGATACCGTTTAAAGAAGTTACCTGTCACCTTTGACAGTATTCCTCGTGATGTAATTGAAACCATCATCATATCATGTGCTAGTAATGAAATCAACAGATATGTATTGAGCACTTATATGTAAGGTACTTTACTGAGATAATTTAGAGAATCATTTTACAATCCTTAATGAGTTTTTGTACTATAGTAGTTTGGTAGGTTATATTATAAAAGTCTTAAATAACTTAAAGGAACCAAACTTCAAAAGATATTTTTGTGGGTAAAGAGGCCACATAACTTTTATAACATAGTATATATTAATAAGGTACTACTTGAGAAAATGAGAACTGCTTGTATATTAAAATATTGGTTGATTATTTTATTTTTATTTTGTTTTATTTTTAAATCTATATTGAAAGGTTATTTTAATATATAAGCATTAAGATTTCAATATAAGTAATTTTTAGAAATTGGTTGACACTCTTGAATTGCTTACTAGTAAATAAATGAAACTTTTTTCATTTATTTCACACACAAAAAATAAGGTACACTTGATATTTATTAGCATATATGTTCAAACAGTATCCCCACCAGTCACCATTATGAAAGTCATTTCTGTGACTCTTATTTTTAACTCTGCTTTTCAGCAATGGATCAAGAATCCAACAAGGCTGCCTGGCCCAAACCAGCAGGAGGATATCAGACAATCACAGGCAGGAGATACGGAAGAAGACATGCCTATGTCAGTTTTAAACCTTGTATGACAAGGCATGAAAGAAGCTTAGGTCGAGCTGGTGATGACTATGAAGTGTTAGAACTAGATGATGTTCCAAAGGAAAATTCCTCAGGTATGTACCACAGAATTGTTTAAAAACTATTAATAAGCCTGAAGAAATTAATCTTGTGATATTTAAAATTGTGGAGTGGGTTTTATGTGTGTCTGTGAGTAAAAGTGCTGTACATTTCTGTGAAGAAATTGTATTCTGAAATTTTTAATTAATTTAAAATTTTATTAAATTAATATTAATATTTAAACATAGAGGAGAACAGAATGTGGCCAATGATTAAAATATAACTACACTTTCATATCATGATTACATTGTCACATCCTTCAATCAGAGGAAATCATATTTTAATCAAATACATTTTTAAAATGTTAACCGAGTATATTTTTCCCTGCATATTAAGTTTAATTTTTGTTTTTTAAAATTGTCTCTTAAATCAGTGTAGCTTGGCTCATTTGATTTAAAAAAAAATTATTTTATAAAACATAAATGCCAAGTAATTCTTAGTCAATTAAAATTTCTTAACCAGTCAGTGGTTTGAAAAGTATTTTGCAGATATTCATGTATTAAAATATATGATTTTGGACTAGAATGCCATCTTTTTCTTGTTCTGAACAAACTTGGTAATTCTATTAATACATTATTTTTATTGTCATCTATAATAATAAAAGCATAATATGGTAATTAGATCACCTTCTGGACAGAGCTGGGGCTGTGAGGGAAGCCCGGGTTCAGGGTGCCAGAGGGAAGTTGGTGTCAGCAGCTGGAGGAAGGAAGGACTACTCTTGCACGAATATTGTGCATCAGGTCTCTAGTTTATATATAAGAATCTGAATTATTATGTAAGGTCATTCCATAAAAGAAGCCTTTTGGTGATATGACAAGATTGATCTTCAGTTGTTTGTAATTTATAAATTTTTGTTCCAATAAATTTCATGTCTTCATTTTTATTATTCAATTATTAGTGATAAAAGATACTCATGCTAAAGTAATTTATAGACTTGATATGATTTTATTCTTATATCAAGATTCTGACAATCTGTGGCAAATAGAATCAACATTGACTTTTTCGTTGTTATTCATAGCTGTAACATATCTAAAGTTAACTCATAGGTATATTACAACAGTCTACTTTTGGGATAGAAAGCTGATATTATGTATCAGAGACTGAGATATCTTCTGAATTGACATCAAACACAATAGAGTCTCATTTCTGTTCTATATGTAATCTGATCTTTTATCTATCATAAGTACTTGTGAAGTGTTGTTTTTTTTTTTTTTTGTGTGTGTGTGTGTGTGTGTGTGTGTGTGTTTACATCTGTATGTAATCGAAGAAGTTAAGTTTGAATTGCACACCCCAAGAACTGGGAGGGCAGTGACTTCACTTATGCCTTTTATTGTTTGGTCTTTCATTAGCCTCTGCTTTTAATGTATTTTACAGAATGTTTTAGGTAATAGGACTTAGGTGGAAAATCTGCAAAAGATATGTAAGTGAGATGATACTGATTGACCACACAGTAGCATAAATTTACTCATATGGTAACCATTCTGTCCTCCCAGTTAAATAAGGGTACATAGAAACACCTGTCAGAGAAATTCTTTTATAATCTCAGAGAGGTAATAATTGGTATGATTTTTACTTAAAATAGCCATTATGAAATCAAATTTTATCTAAATTAATTCCTCCAAATATGTTTTCTTTTGTTCTCTACAAAGGTTCCAGTCCATTGGATCAAGTTCAGTCTTCTTTATCCAACAATCCTTTATCTGAAAAAAGTGAAACAGAAATTCCCATTTGTGATACAGCATTGAATCAGACCATTGAGAGCAGTCCATCCTTTGCTGCAGTACAACTTAGTGGGGAAGGCAGGGAGACCTTAGGAAGCAGTACAGATCTTCATAATAACTCTGAGGGAGAACATACTCCAGGAGCCTGTAATGCCTCAAGTGTCCAAAATGGAATTGCCTTGGTTCATACTGACTCTAATGATCCAGATGGCAGACATGGAAAGGAGGATAATGACCGTCTTCAGCCTTCTTCAGAAGTTGTGGAAGGTGGTAGACATCAGGAAGCTTTGGGCAATACAGTATTTGAGTTGGAAAATGGAGAGGTAGAGGCAAATACAGGTCTTTTACCACCAGTTCCCGCTTTTAACTGTGAAGTACAAGATGAGTTTGAAGAGTTTGATTCAGCGCCTTTAGTGAAAAGTTCTACTGGTGACATTGTCAGTCAAACCAACCAGGAATTTCCGAGGTCATCTTCTGAAGAGGAAGTTATTAGAAAGAAAGAACAAATTAATACTAGCCAGGAGAGAAAGAGAGAGAATTCAACTGAAGATACAGCCTGTGCGGAAGGGCATATTTGCAGTGAACAAAATACCAGGGATAGGGACAATAAGCAGGGAAGTTCTCCTGAACAGGTAGTGAGGCCTAAAGTTAGAAAACTGGTAAGTTCAAGCCAGGTGAACCAAGAATTAGGTTTTAATAGGCATGAGGCTAAACAAAGAAGTGTGCAGAGGTGGAGGGAGGCTTTGGAAGTTGAGGAAAATGGCTCAAATGACCTCTTGATAAAATGTGATGACTACGATGGCGAACATGATTGTATGTTCTTGGATCTACCTATGGCACGAGTTACACAGAGTGAAACAGAAAATAACCAAATAACATCAGAAAGTGGAGCCACAGCAGGAAGGCAAGGAGTTCTGAATAACACCTTTTGGAATAGCTGTGGAGATTATTACCAACTGTATGACAAAGATGAAGACAGGTAAGATTTTATTCAATACTTTGTTAGACTGTGTAGTGAACAAAGTGGTTTCTTTCTACTGCCATGGTGTTTGATGGATGTGCTCTCTGACATCTCAGGGAATTACGTAGATATTTTAACATATCAAATATTCTTCAAAAAAACATATTTTTTTATTTCATAGAGAAAGGGAGAGGGAGAAAGAGATAGAAACATCAGTGATGAGAGAGAATAATTGATCAGCTGCCTCCTACATGACCCCCACTAGGGTTTGAGCCCACAATCTGGGCATGTGCCCTGACGAGGAATCGAACTGTGACCATCTAGTTTGTAGGTCAGTGCTCAACCACTGGGCTATACTGGACAGGTTCAAACATTCTTATTTACTAAGTGCTAACCATACATGCAGAGTAGTGGTTAGTTTTTTATAGAAACTGTCTTTGAGATGTTTCAGGAGTTTACAGAAATTATATCCAGATGATTATTATTACAAAAGAATAGATAATAACTTAATTCTTTGTATCTCAGTGAAATTCAAGGTGAACATTTATCGTAGTTTAAAAATTCTGTGGTAAGCCAGTCTCACTGGAGGATATTTTTCCATTGGTTTTTAGAGAGAATGAAAGGGAGAGAGAGGGAGAACGATACATCGGTGTGAGAGAGAAACATCAATTGGTTGCTGCCCAGATTGGGACCAGAGATTGAGGCTGCAACTGAGGTATGTATCCTTGACCTGAATCATACCTGGGACCTTTCAATCCGCAGGCTGATGCTCTATCCACTGCGCCAAGCTGGCTAGGGTCATAACTTTTCTTAAATAAGCATTCTAATCCCTGTTACATACTTTTCTATTTTTCCAAAATGTAAGACAACAGAAAGAGAAATGGAGAATTTCTTTGTCCAATTGCTGACTGTTGTTATCCCAGAGTCCAAATGTCCTTTTAAGGTAGTTGAAACCCCAACTATGATCAATTACAAAGCAATTCCAAGATTTTAGCTTGTGGAAATAATTATATTTTAGAAGATGCAACAAAGGAAGACATCCTTTAGAATATGAACATACTTTATGTATTTTGTAACAACAAAATTAATAAAATACCATGTCAATTAACTAACTTGTAGGAACAGTTGAAATATAACATCTATACCATCATGGAAGTTTGTAAACTTTAAGGCTTAATAGACTATATTTTTGTAACCTACTGTTTTTTAAGTTAAGGGTAAAGATAGTTAAAAACTTTTGTCTGACATTTCTATTTTTCCAGTTTAGGTCCACAATCTTTTATCCAAAATCCACAAAGTTCTAAAAATGGATGTTGGCAGCAAAACCTGACCCGATGTTAACTTACTTGACAGCAGATCTGGGTCTGAACTAAAATGAGTCCTTTGTTCAAGTATTTATAAATTTTGTTGCAGTGATATGATTGCTTAATTACTGGGTGCTGGCTTAGACCCACTGGGAATTTAGGTAATGTTCTAAATCTCAAGAAGGCGGGGCGGGGGGAGAGGCAGGAATCTAAATAACAAAACATATTTATTCCTAAGACATTTGGATTGGATTGTTAAATGTATTTACCTTGAAGTTACTATTAAAAAATAAAACAACTTAGTCTTAGATAATTTATCTTTTGAAAGTATAAGGGTGTTGCACTTTTTTCCCATTAATTTTTTGCTTTTGAAGAAAGTCATTTAATTTGGCTATGCCCTCTCCATTGTGGACACTAATAAAAAATAAAAGCCTCTTTTGTTTTCTTTTAATAGTCAGGCATAATGTCATTTAATGAAGTTGAAATTTTTATGCTGTTTGCAACTTAAAGAGAAAACATAGTTTTCTTGACTCTTGGCTTTTAAATTGATTCTTTTTGTTAAAGGAATTGTTTTCTTTGTTTAGAATAATTCTGGGCTTTTTAATAGTTATAGGATGTTGTATTAGCATATGTATTTATAATTTTTCCCTTAAGTGAAATGTCATTAATCTGAACAATAATAGATTTTTTAAAAATATATTTTTTTAATTTATTTTTACAGAGAGGAAGGGAGAGGGATAGAGAATTAGAAACATCGATGAGCGAAAAACATCGATCAGCTGCCTCCTACACACCTCTTACTGGGGATGTGCCTGCAACCAAAGTACCTGCCCTTGACTGGAATCAAACCTGTTACCCTTCAGTCTGCAGGCCAATGCTCTATTCATGAGCCAAACTGGTCAGGGCAATAGATTTTTTTTTTTTTTTTACAAACAGATTATAGTTAATAGAAACTTTTTTTAAATCAACTTTTTAATAATACTTATAGTTAATAGAAACTTTTAAAAAACACATTGAAATGCCAGAAACATGATTTTTTTTTTTTTAAAGGTCCACCACAGAATAAGTGTAATGGTTCTAGTTAGGATTCTACTTATATTTTCATCTATAAAACTTAAGATATGTTTTAGGGCTTCATTTCAGTAGTCACTACAATTTTAATGAGGAATTCTATTTTTATCATACTGTTTCCAGTTCCTCTGCCCTTGCTCCCTGCAAAGGATCACAATTGCCAGATGCCTTTTAATATGGTGTGAGATAAAGGTTGAAATTTAATAATTGTAACTCCTATTTATTTTTATTTTGCCAATTGTTCATCTACCTGATGTTTTACGGTAGTCCTGCTCAGTTCTGATATTAGCAGGTTGGAGAAATGGGAAACATAGTCACTCTACCATAAGTGTTTTGAGAAGGAAAGTACAAATAGCTTCTGCTTTGAATCTGCGTGAATTTTTTTTTTAAGTTTCCACTGCTTTGTAAAATGTATAAATGATGTACTTGAAAAATATTTTATGTTTGTATTATAACAATTACAAATTAAACTCCCTTATCAAGAGCATAACAAGTTTACTGTGATATATATATAGATACAGAAATTTTAGCCACTTTAGAAGCATATAGTGTATATATTCTTTATCAGTGGAAAGGCATTTTAATGAATGCATGACCCATTTCTTCCCTGAAAAATTCTAAATGATCACTTAATCACATCTGAAACATTACAATCTAAGAAGCACTGCAGCTAGTAGCATTGCTCTGAGCTGTTTGACAGGAACCGAGCACCACCTTATTAAATTAGAACTGTAAAGGGAATTTTAATAGGCAGCATATAATTACCAGGCTTGGAACTAGTCCAAAGAGCGAAGGTTAATATCCTTCTCTTTTGAAAAACACCCTGAGAACTTTAATAACTGTTGAGGAAAGATCTTGAGTTTAAAAGGACCTTTTAGCCGTGTTAGTACATTTTAACCTTGGGCCTAACTGTTCTCCTAACCATTTCTTATAGCACTTGAGGTTTCTTTCACAGCTTTTTCTGTCCCTACTTATCTTTGCTTAAAAAGTAAAAAACTTACTTCAGACAAAATTATTGTGACAGCTTTTTTTTGTTGGTGATGTTAGAAGAATAAAAAGAGTATTAGCTACTTAGTTTCTTTCAATTTGATATATTAAAAAAAATACTTATTGAAATTCTCCTCAGTAAGTGTCAGACTTCGTTATGGCTACTCTGTAAATGCGAATAATCATGATCCTTGTTTCCTTGGTATTCACCAATCTTATGAAGAAGACAAGATGTACGAGTAATTATCATGAGCCTAAATTAAGCTCCTTTCCTCTTCTATATAAGTTAGGTCAGGGCCATGAAGGAAGAGCTCTTATGATCTTCCTGTATTGTGACAAACAAAACATCTATGAGCAGCCAAGACAAAGGTCTTAAAACACACACTCTAACATTTTAGCATACCCTTTCATCTTGTTTCCAAGTTCATAAGGATAAACAACTTTGTTCTACAGGTATGCTTGGGCAGGGTGGGGGGGCTTACAGATTATAATATTCTGATATTGAGGGAAAGAACCAGAAAATTCTAAAAAGCAGGTACAATTCAAAAAAAGATAATAATTTGGGCCTTATTTACTAAATTAAGCAAGCTTGTATATTTAAACATATATATATATATATTTAAACATATATATATTTAAACATATATATATTTAAACACACACACACATATATATATATTTCAACATGTTTAAATGTTAAATGTCCTAGTCTGTTTAGATTATGTTTAGTATACTGTCTTTGAAAATGCAAAGAATTATATGCTTTAACACAGTTTCCATCCAGAGTATTTTCAATAAAGTTTTTTGATCCTTTTTCATTAGTCAGGTAACAAAATTATCTAAACTTATCTAAATGATTTATACATAAATTATTTGTTTAGAAATCAGATAATTTCATCCCATATGTGAAAAGTTTTTTGGGTCACAACTGAATGTGTAAAAAGCATAACATTCTAATAAGTTATAGTGCTCTGCTTTTTAATATAGCTCTAAATGTTAATGGGAGACAATACTAGAGCATATGAAAATTAAACTGGCACTTAATTTTGAGGATTTAATGTTAAACTTAAGTGTCTTTATAATCAAGAACAAATGGTCCTCTAATCCATACTTATTTCATATCCTATTTGTTCTGTTGCTTACTCTCTTTGAAAACTTATTTTTAAATTCTTAATCTTTTTGCTTTTAGTTTCATGCACTCCTGTCACTCTTTAGTAGATAACTTTGTCTCGTGCTTTCTTATAGATACTGAAATAGTTAACTATGAACTTTCTTGTTCTTCTTTATATTAGAACTAGAGTCCTGGTGCATGAAAACTCATGCACCAGAGCCGGAGGGGGAATCCCTCAGCCCGGCCTGCCCCTCTCACAGTCCAGGAGCCCTCAGGGGCAGGAGACACCCAGCCATCAGGGGAAGGCAACACCCCATCACACCTCTGCTGCTGCCACTGCTGGTAGCGCAAGCCTCGGCCAGCCCTGGTTACCTGAGCCTCGTGTGGCTGATATTACCATTTAGTAAGACAAACCAAAGTATATAGCCTTTCTTAGGTATAGAAAAGAGGAAAATGGTGGTGTGCTGATTGGAAATCCAAGAAAGGCCTATGCAAACAGCTTATAAATGAAGAAAGTAACTGCCACCTTTATTAAATGTTTGCCTTTTTCCAAAAATTGTGCTAACCATTTTATCTAGTATTCATTTAAACATTACTATAGCCCTGAAAATCAAATATTAATATTCTCATTTTACAGATGAGGAATTGTGAGTTTAGGGAAGTTAAATTTCTGAGTTTGCATTATTAATACTGAGCCAGGATCCTAACCTAAATCTGTCTTACTTCAAAGCTTGTGTTTAGCAATGTGGCATTCACTACCAGGGGTAAAAAGAGGCTGTCATAGATGGAACTTTTACCTGATATAAAATATTGAAATATAGTATTTTGTTTCTTCGGTAAGGAAATTGTAGTAGGGTCTTTGTTTTCTTTTTTTGTTATTTCTTTTTATAGTAAAAAAAAAATAAATCATTATCAGAGTTACATAGTCTCCTCTGACTAGCTCTGTCTGAGCCAATTTGGACTTTTAAGTTAATAATAGACATTAAGTTTGAAATTCGTCATAATGTTCAGAATGAAATATTAATATGAAATATTAATATGAAATTGTTCATGCACTACTTTATACCACTTATATCACAAATTTGTATTAATTTCTGGAACATACTTTTAAAAAGGATTAATTCTTGGCCCTTTGGAAATAAACTAGATATTGCTAAAAGTTTTAAAATCGTGCAGTTGCACAGTCTTAGTTTACAAATGCTTCCTATTCAGATTTACCTCTTCAGATACTTTTTTGGTCATTATTAAAGAAGCTGTGATTTCATACTTAACCTTTCGATGCATTGTTAAAGAGGTAGCTATGCTGTAGTGAGTTTGACTAAATAGACGAAAGGTCTAGCCCATGAGTTAACTAAGAACAAATGAATGATCTGGGCCTGAAAGGGAAAAAAGATGAAGTGATTGTGAAGACATTCTTGATGGTGGGAGAAATGCTTGTGGCGAAAGTTCATATTTCAAGGACAGTATCTGAAATTAGTCATATAACAAAACAGTTGGATATAACAATGTACTGGTAACTGGCATCAGATTGTAGAAAATCATATGCTATTTAAAGTTTCAACCTTTTTTATATAGTCCAGACTTTTCCAAACTGGGTGAAATATAATAAGTAGTACACAGACAAGTGTTACTAATTTTAATCCTACTAGAGTCCCAGTGCACGGATTCATGCACTGGTGGGGCCCCTCAGCCTGGCCTACGCCTCTTGCAATCCAGGACCCACTCAGAGAATGTCAGACTGCTAGCAGGTTTCAGCCCAATCCCCAAAACCAGCAGTCCGACATTCCCAAGGGATGTAGTAGTGTGTGAAGTGGCAGGTGACTGGGGAGGAGCCCGAGCCCAGGCTGGGCACCATGTGGGCTGCTCCAGCTCATTCCAGCCCTGCTGTGCCTGCCAGCCGCTGCTGATAGCACTGCCACGGAGGTGGGAGAGGCTTGCACCTGGGCTTGCTAGCTGTGAGCCTTGTGCCTGGCGCCCATCTATCAGCTGAGTGGCACTCCCACTGTGGGAGCACACTGACCACCAGGGGGCAGCTCCTGTGTTGAGCACCTGCCTCCTGATGGTCACTGCGCATCATAGCAACTGGTTGATTTGGTTGCTTAGGCTTTTATATAGAGAGATATTTATTTTAATGGGAATAAAAAGTATAGCTAAGTTATCAAATTTGGAATTTTATGAATATTGCTTAGGAGGTAACTAAATGTGTTTGAATAAAAAATGTTTTAAAAAAAGATTTGCTAACAGTTATTGGTGGCTTATTTAGGAGACACTGTTAGAACGTTTAATATGTATTAACTCATTTACTCATCACATGAACTCAGTGAGATATTAGATGCTATTATATTTACCTAGCATGTGAAGTGATAAAGGTGCAGAGAGGTTAAGTAACTTTTTCACAGCTAATAAGTGATGGATTCAAATCCAAGCAGGTTAACTCCAGAAAGGGACTTATCTGGTAGGTGAATTTTATTTTTAAAATATAACTTGAAAAGGATTGTGAAATCTAAAAATGGATTAGTGGGCAGTTAGTGATTATGAAAGCTTAGTATGATAGTCAGGGCCAGGGATTGTTATTTTAAAATTATCTTAGAAGTGAGGGTTATGTAAATGAGTAATAATGGTATAGGCCAGTGGTCTGCAGACTTTTTCTCCCATCCAAGTACTAACCAGGCCCGACCCTGCTTAGCTTCCAAGATCAGCAGACTTTTTCTTAAAGGGCCACATAGTAAGTATTTTAGGGTTTGGTAATTAAGAGACAAGGTGAAATATAAACATGTAAAAAAAATAACATTCATTTATTTAGCTCACAGACTTTTTTTTTTTTTTTGCCTTGAATCTCTTGCTGTTTTATTTATTAAACTTTATTGGAAGCCCCGTGGGTGCCTCGTGGTGGACTGGGCAGGGTGTGAGGAGGTGCCGGGGAACCACAGGTCATCCTGGTCACTTAGTCACTTGGTGGGTTCTGTACCAGGCATCATTCAAAGATGGGGCTGTGTCATGAGAGGGCAAGGGGCCATGGTCCATGTCATGGTGACTGATGTGAGGGAGTTGGTCAGTTAAACGGAGGGGACATTTAATCTGGAACCTGAAGGAGAATCATTCTGTTTTGGTGAAGGCTGGTGTGAGCCAGGCTGAGGTCACCACCAACACAGAGGTAGGCAGGGGCCGGAGTCCCAGGAAAGAAGTGGAGGCCAGGAAGGAGGCAGAGCAGCTGTGAGGGACAGACCATTTTTTAAAAGGCAGCAGGGCTTCTTAAATATATTGACTATTGATAACATTCTTTTTGTATTAAAATTTATAGATACTTTGTTATTTCATTAATCTAGATAAGTTTAGAAGTTCCATGTGTTAACCTTTCAGAACAGGATCACACTCTGAGTAAAATGTCTAAACTGAGGTATTTCTTTTAGTATGTAAAAAAATCACAAATTAATATAGAAATCTTACCTAAATATTCTCAAATTTGGAATTGATAATTTAGCTTTGAATTGAGCTTTATAGTCAAGGAAATTTAAATAAGCTCCTTTAAATCTGTTTTCTGGTAGATTTTGGTATTGATGCAAGTTTAGAAATGATTTACTTGATCTTAGATTATTCTTTGGGTCACAGAAAATTTTACAGGCATTTTATTTGCATTTGTTGCCTTTTACTTGCTATCCTAGAGCTACATTGCATTCCTTCACCAGAATGGCTGTGCCCTGCCTCCCACTGTCTGGAAAATTGGGTGTTGATTTTACTTCTATCTACTCAGAGCTCAGATTAGTGCTGTTCTTTGTTAATAGCATTTTGATCTCTTGGGTTCATCTACCTACAGAAGGAGGATCTCACTAGTCTAGATATTAAAAATATATTGTCATCATAAAGAAAAGACAATTTCTTACCAGTTATTACTCCCTTTCAAAAACATGAACTAAAATGGATTTCTCAAAAGTCATTGCACAAAAGGAATTCTTTAAGTGATTCTTGACCACAATGGTTGAGATGGTTGGAAAGGACATTTTTTCTTTTTAACATCAGTAATATATATATTATTGATTTTGTACAGAGAGGAAGGGAGAGAGAGAGTTAGAAACATCGATGAGAGAAAGTCATCGATCAGCTGCCTCTTGCACACCCCCAAATGGGAATATGCCCTTGACCGGAATCGAACCCGGGACCTTTCAGTCCCCAAGCCGACGTTCTATCCATTGAGCCAAACCGGTTTCAGCAGTAAGTAATATTTTTGCCTTTGGTAGTATGACTGGAGCTTTTAAAAGTAGTTACGTGTAACCAGATTGACCAGAGTTAAATATTACCAACAAAATAATTTTCCGAGGTTCTTTGTTAACTCCTTATTATATATGTCTTAGTTTCTTACTTAAATATTCTCTTGAATTGAAATATATTTTGGACTCATAGTCCTACCAAAGAACTTCACTAAAGATTTGTCAGTGCTACTTTATATGAATTTAAATGTGTCTTCATTTTAAAGTCTGTGAAAAAGGAAGGAAAAACATGATAATAGTAGAAATTTATTCACAGAAGACATTTCATCATTTTGTCATTATGTGTAGATAGTTGTTTTAATCAGGCCAGGTTATATAAATAATAAGTCATTATTTTATGTAGCATTTTATTTATAATTACCAAGTTAAGTTTAAATTTTTACTTAAAAATATGTCTAAATATGAAGAAACTATATTTTGGCACCATGGAATTACTTAATTCCGTGAAGAAACTAATAAATTAATAATTCCATAACTTGCCTTGCCATATGCTACATTCACTTGAAAAATTTACATTCTCCCCACTGGAGTGACTCGGAGCATCATCCCTTGCACCAAAAGGTTTCTGGTTCGATTCTCCGTCAGGGCACAGGCCCTAGGTTTCGGTTTCTCTCTCTTTCTCTCTCTCTCTCTCTCTCTCTCTCTCTCTCTCTCTCTCTCTCTCTCTCTCTCTTTCTCTCACTCACTAACTCATTCTTGCTCTTTCTCTCCTCCCCTCCCCTGCCCTCCTCTCCCCTTCTTCTCAGCATGTCCTCAAGTGAAGATTTTTAAAAAGTTACATTCTGCTGAATATATTTATTCATTTTAAAAATTAGCAACAGATGAAACGTGTGTGACATCAGTAGTCTACTCTATATACCATGATGCCTGGTTAACACTCCAAATGATAAATGCATATACAATTTTCTTTCTGTTCTAAATTTCCAGTTCAGAGTGCAGTGATGGAGAATGGTCTGCTTCTTTGCCTCATCGATTTTCTGGTACAGAAAAAGATCAGTCTTCAAGTGATGAAAGTTGGGAGACTCTACCAGGAAAAGATGAAAATGAACCTGGACTACACAGTGATAGCAGTAGTCCTGAAGAAAACCAAGAATTATCTCTTCAGGAAGGGTATGTTTAACAATGAGATGTATTGTTTTAAGAACTCTATATATCACATTCAAATGTTGGGTAGGTTATTAGATACATTTACAAGCCCTGTGTAGGACCAGTAGGTCCTACTGATTTTTTTCATTATGGTTTTGGTATGTTACAGAGGACAGCCAAATTGAAAATACAGGCAATTTTAGTACCTTCTATCATAATACAGTATATGTGTCTACTTTGCTTTACTAAATAAAACTTGTCATTGAAAAGATCATTTTGATAGAAATAGGTGTGCGTAAATTAGAGCTATAATTGCTATACAGTGGCTATATACTGAGAAATCTTAAATAGCAAATATTTTCAATTCTACCTTTATAGTGTAAAGTAGCCATGGACAGTGTGTAAATGAATGGGTATAGCTATCTTGCAACAAGATTTTATTTATATAAATCAGTGAGACAGGCTAGAAATAACCTATGGGCCACGGTTTACCAACCCTTGATGGAATATTTTTGTGATAATTTTAATTTTCTTCTATGATAATTAATTGGTTCTAATATTTAGTCTCATGGGATCGATTTTGGTGAATATGTTTTCTTAGGAAAAATCTTTCAGCTAATATTAAAATTAGTATTTCTCAAAGGGTATAAATTTCCAGCTTGAGATTAATTCTGTAAGAAAACCTGGGAGTAAAAAATATTAGAAAATCTGTAAAGACAGAAATTTACAAATATAATTGGTTTTGACACATTTGTAGGTTGAGGTGGAAACTTGCTCTTCCTTATTTTATGTTCTATCATCTTTAATCACTATTACTTAATTTACTAATATTATTGTTTCATATGTAATTTGTGGAAGTAATTAGCTATTCATTCAGCAGATATTTATTCAACATTTAATATGTGCTAAGCATTGTGCTGGTTCCTGGGATTATATCAGTCAACTAGACCAGTGTTTCCCAAACTTTTGACATATGTGTACCCCTTCTGTAATTTTCATAACGCTGAAAACCCCTCATACTGATGAGAATGTAGAATTAGGCGCAGCTAAGCACGGTGCAGTGCATATCCCCACCAAACTCCGGTGCAACGCGTACCTCCACCAAATCTTCCCGTACCCCTGGGGGTATGCCTACCACACTTTGGGAAACACTGAACTAGACAAATAAGATACCGCTTGTGAAGCTCAAATTATAATGGGAGAGACAGATAATAAGAGATACAAACATAATACAAACTGTGATGATTAGTCTGAAGGAAATAAAACACTAATTTATAGAAAGTAACTGATAGGGGCCTACGTTCAGGGAGACTGCACTTAGGAATGACTTTTGAGCTGGGATCTGAAAGATAAGAACTAGCAGTTGAGGAAGAGCTTTCTAGGCAGAAACAAAAGTCAGAGCAGAGGCCTTGAAAAGGAAAGGGCTTTGTATGTATGAAGGTAGTGTAACTGAAGTGAAAGAGATGAAGTTCTCAGAAACCAGACTATGCAAGACATAGAGCATCTGGGATTTATTCAGAGATCAGTGGAATTTTAACTGGAGAAGTCATTGATCTGACACACATTTTTAAAAGATCACTCTAGCTGTTTCATGGAGATTGAATTGGAAAGGGATTAAAGTTAAAAAGGGGGAAGTGGTAAATTTGGCTTTGGACTAGGGGATGATAAGTGAGGGTTAACTAAACAAAAGAGGTTTGAGAATATTTTAAAGTTATAAATAAAAGGATGAATTAGGTGTAAAATGAAGGAGGAATCAGTCAATTATGGCTGGGTGTTTTGGTTTGAGTATTGGGTAGATGCTAATGTCACTGACTGAGATGGAGAAGTCTGGGGAGAGAACTGGAAAGTAGGAACTCTGGAAGTTTGAAGTGTTATTTGGACAGTGTAAATTGCCTGTAGGCAACTGGATATTTAACTTTCAAGTTTAAGGAAAATGTCTGAGATTGTAATTAAATATAAGTATTATATGGGTATAAACAAAAACACATTTGTAAGTCATCGGCTCCTTGCATTAATATCTTAAATAATAAAACTCACTAATTTGTTTAAAAAATAAAAGTGGGAGGTGAGGCTGAAACTGGTTTGGCTCAGTGGATAGAGCGTCGGCCTGCAGACTGAAGGATCCCAGGTTTGATTCTGGTCAAGGGCGTGTACATTGTTAGCAGGCACATCCCCAATAGTTCACAAGGCAGCTGATCGATGTTTCTCTCTCATCGATGTTTCTAGCTCTCTATCCCTTTCTCTTCCTCTCTGTAAGAAATCAATAAAATATATTTTTTTTAAAAAGTGGGAGGTGAGAAGTAAAGTACTATCAGTAAAACACTGGACAAAATCATATTTAAATTGATAAGATCAGAGTTGAAATGTATTGTTTGGGAGAGGGTTGAAAGTTAACTTTTGACATAGTTTAAATTTGTATGGTAAAATTTTAAGGGTAACCCCTATAAGAGTAAATATAAGATATGGGTACTGGAAACCTGTAGAGGAGGAAAGAAAGGAATCAACTTGTGCAAAAGAACACTTAAAGTCAATTCGAATAAAAGGAAAGAAAGGGAGAAAACATAAAAATGAAGAAAATAGAGATGAAAAACATAGAATATAGAAGCAAGACCTACAATAAATATAAATTACCTATTCCCTACTTATAAAATCTTCAGATCAGTTGATTTTCTTTAAGTTAAATGCTGTTTACAAAAGCATAAGCAAACAGAAAGAAATAAAATAAAAGGGTAGAAAATGATATTTCAGGCAAATACTAATAGAAAATGGTAGTTATATTAACTTTAGCAAAGAAGGCATAAAGACACAAAAGCATTATTAGGGAAGAGTGAGAGTCATTATGTAATAAGTCCAATTTACTAGTAAAATGTAGCAATTTTAATTTGATTACTCCTAATGAAATAGACTTATAATAAGTCAAAATTTGACCAAACTAGAGAATATTGATAAATTTACTATCAGGAAATGTTTAAATACATTTCTCATTTCTCATTTACTGACAATTCATGGATCTAAAAAATTCATATATCTTTAGTATATTTTTACAACTCATTAAAGCATGGTTTAATGAGCCCTGCATTCTTTGGAATACACAAACATATAAAAACCAAACTTGTACTAGGTTACAAAGCACAGATTAACACATTTCAAAGAGTCATTTTCCTGCCCTCTATATTTTCTGACCACAATGCTATTAGCTTAGAAATAAATTCAATTATCCATTCTTTTAAATAATCAGGAGGACAAAGAAGAAATAATAGAAATTTTAAATGTTCACAAGACAGTGATAATGAAAATACCACCAATTATATTTTGTTGGATGCAATGAAATTGGTTCTTAAAGGGAAATTTAAAAAATACTTATATTAGAAAAGAATGAAAGCTGAAAATTGAGCTGTGCATTTAACTTAAAATACAAAAGGAATGTTAGAATAAACAAATATAGATTAAAATTGGGAAAGATAAAAGTGGAGATTAAAGAAATCAAAAGTTGAAACTTTGAAAGATTAAGAAAGATGGACAATAAATTTGGATAGTAAATAAGAAATTTAGGACAAGGCATAAATAAATAAGACTGAAATAAGTGGATATCACTACAAATATAATAAAGATTGAATATTAAAAAGAATACTGGGCCAGGATTGGTTTGGCTCAATGGATAGAGCGTCAGCTTGGGGACTATAGGGTCCCAGGTTGGATTCCGGTCAAGGGCTTGTACCTTGGTTGCGGGCATAACCCCAGTGGGGGGTGTGCAAGAGGCAGCTGATCGATGACTCTTTCTCATCAATGTTTCTAACTATCTCTCTCCCTTCCTCTCTGTATAAAATCAATAAAAAATATATTTTTTTTAAAAAAGAATACTGGTATGCTTTGTACTAGTAAATTTGAAAACTTAGGAGAAATTGAAAATTTCTAGAAAAATATAATTCATCGAAACACAGGAGGAAATACAAAGCCTGATAATACTATAACTATTACAATTTGTAACCAATGGTTTAATATCTTCCATGGAGAAAAACAACTGACCCAGATGGTTTTAGAGCTGAATTCTCTTAAACTAAACTTTTAAGGATCATGTCATTCTACTCTTTAAAAGACTCGAAAAAATTAATTCTCCAAATCATTTTAATCAGGTCAGTAGACCCTAATACCAAGAGTATGTGAATAAAATTATGTATTATTTTCATTAAAATATATGTTAAAAAATCTTAAACAGAATTATTGGAAATTGGAATTTGGAAATGTATTATTTTAAAAGGTAAAACTCAATTATGAAACTGAATTTATTCCAGAAATGCAAAGGTGGTGCGGATACATGATGAGGTGTTTTCAGTTTCCCGTCATGGTAGTAGCATTAATTTTCTCTAAGCTGTACTGAAAAATCCTTAAAAGGGAAGAACAAGTTGGTAATTTCCCTTCCTACTTGAAATGCCTGTGACTCTGGTGGTGGTAGTGGTAGGTATAGGCTTCCAATCTTCCAAATGCGGAACTGCTTTTTTAAAGAATGAACCATTTGGAGACATGATTAGATAATGTCTTTCTTTAAGTCTGACATATTACTACATAATGTTATAATGGCATTTTGTTGATTTTTTAATTGCCAAAATGAAGAAAGATCATTAATACTCTAAAATTTTGTGAATGTTAGTTAGGGTGTATGTATGTGAATGCATATTTAGAGAGAAAGAACATTGAGAGATTGTCCTAAATATTTTCAAGCATTTGAAACTTACATTGTATGCTTATAGTCCCATGGAGATACTGGTTTCAGTTGTTAACTACACAAAATGAAAGGTACTTTGACCCCATTGTTCAGAATCTTCTTTTTTTTTAAAGTGCAAAATTCCTTTCGTTATACTATCAAGATAACTTTGGTCCAGCACATTGCCACTCTTGAAGCCTGCGAAAATTTATGTGAAATGGTAGGAATTTATACAAACTTTGTATAACATGTTGAAAACATATGCCATATCACTTATTTTCTGTTTCTATAACTGTGCTATGATGAATTATTAAAGACAGAATGAAATGTTTAAGCAAAATATGTAGCCAGGAATTGGTTATATAGTAGGAGTATTAATGATATGTTATAAATTGTTTAGACTCATTGTGATGATTTATTATTTTAGTTTTCTTCTCTGAATTAAAAAAACCATATATAAATATTTCTTATACTAAATCATTTTAACCAATATATTTAAGTTTTATATTATACTAGAGGCCCAGTGCACGAAATTAATGCATGGGTAGGGTCCCTACCCTTGACTGGCCATCAGGGCCTATTGGGGCCTTCAGCTGCCGGCCCTCCCTTTGTTCTGCGTTGCCCCCTGGTGTTCAGCACACATCATAGTGAGTGATTGAACTCCCTGTCTCCCAGTTGAACTCGCATGGGGACACTTTGCATATTAGCCTTTTATATATACAGATATCTGAAGCACAGAGTAACTGGGTCATTTTGATATCTATAATAGGAAAGAAACATTTTTTGGTAGGAATACATTAGAAATAACAGAAATTTCAAGGTTTATTTCAGGCTTAATATGTTGTTTTTCAAGTATTTATTGCATTTGCAATACATAGATAGAGTATCTATTATATACCAAGCACTTGTTACAGGGGGTGAAGATACAGTGATGAGAAACAACACTGTATATACCCTTGAAAAACTCCCAGTCTAGGAGGAGACAAGTGAGTCATCAGAAAAGTTACAATACTTTTGGTTAGTGCTTCCATAAATGTGTGAATAAAGATCTGTTGCTTAGGAATTTTTATTTTTTTTTTATTTATTTTTTTTTTTTTAAAATATATTTTTATTGATTTTGTACAGAGAGGAAGGGAGAGAGATACAGAGTTAGAAACATCGATGAGAGAGAGTCATCGATCAGCTGCCTCTTGCACACCCCCTACTGGGGATATGCCCGCAACAAAGGTACATGCCCTTGACCTGAATCGAACCCGGGTCCCTTCAGTCCCCAAGCCGACGCTCTATCCATTGAGCCAAACCGGTCCCGGCAGGAATTTTTAGTTTAATTTTATATTTTAAACCTATGTGGGGTTAAATTTTTATTATACCTAATTAATTTTTTATTACACCTAATTAATGCCAGAAGAAAAATATTCACTATCTTTATATAATTAAGTATCTTGTCATGCTAATTTCTCTGATTTTATTAGACTGGCAGTATTAGATACTAAATCTTATAAACCTGTTATTCTGAAGTATAGTTTAGGAACTGAAATTAAAGAAACATTTATGATTTTAGTTATATAAAGAGATACTGTTTTCTATGTATTTAAAATGTATTTATTTTTATAAGTAGACATTGTCTGCATTCCTTTCATAGTGGTTCTTATCCCCCAAAAGTTAAATTTGGATATTAAAATGAATAGAATTCTAATTATAGCTGATCTTAAAGTTGAAATATATAAATTGTTGTATAACATTATTTCTTACCTTGTTACTTAACCAAAATAAAATTCAACCCTGCCAATTCTACGATCCTTTTGATATACTAAAAGTATTTTCTGTTAAGTAAAATGAATAAGAAAATTCTACCAGTATAATGATGTTATTTATAAATTCATAAAGTACCTTTTAGTTCATTGCAGCTATGACATGCCTTTTGTTTCTGATGTATTATAATTAATTATTCTCAATTTGATCTTTGTGTCCATATTTTTGTTGTCTTGACTTTTCCATGAGTGTTTAATGTGCATATCATGAAATTTAATAATCTGTGGCTTCAAGGTTTTGCATCACGCTTAGAATGACAGATTTTTTTTTTTAATTTTCCTCATAATTCTTTTAGTAATTTTATTGTTTTAGAGGTGGTGGCAGTGCTCATGCATATTTAAAAGGTATATCTGGAATTCATTTAAGGGCAAATAATAAGAGATTTAACTTCTCTCTCTCCAGTTGAATACTCAGTTGTCCCAATATCATGTATTGAATAGCCCTTTTCATGCTGTTCTGAATTGCTTCTCTTCCTTATTTTCTTTGCTATTTATTTGTTTGTCGGAACTTATTTTTAGTAGGAGAAACGTTGACAAATAAGAAAACAAGAAGTAAGACTAAATTCTATAATTAAAAAAGGCTGAGTGACGTGGTAGTCAGTGACTGGAGAGTTTCTTCTTGGAGAAGATGATAGTACTCTGACCTGAATATTAGGAAGGGAGTAGCTGTGCAAAAAAAATCTCGTGAAATAACTTTTCACATAGAGGAATTGACCCCAGCTGGAAATGATCTCCATCTCTTCCCAGAGTAGACTTATTGTAGGAATGTAGTGAATGGAGGGAAGAGTAGTGAGAGGTAACAGTTGGAGAAGAGGGCCAAGGAGAAAGATGTTTTATGTAGGGATTTGTAGGTCAAATGGAGAAATTTGGATTTTATTTTAACCGAAGGGAAACTATTCAAGAGCAATGTTTAAGAACTTAAATTGTCTAAGATGAGTTTCTTTTTCTCCCTACAAAAAGAGGAAATCTAGATTAGATAATTTGTATATCAAATAAATAGGTTCTTACATAATTAGGAGCTTATTTCTATATACGTGTGACCCCATAACAAGTTTACTTTATTTTAAAATAATTTTACATTTAAAGAAAACATTTTTAAAAATCTTAAGTAGCAAGAGTTTAGGACTCTAAGGATAAAGAATCAGCTTGCACTAAATAGAACTCTTTAAAGGACAATTGTATGATGCGTTTTAAAATAATACATTTTTTCTCTTAAAATGTTTTTATTAGGGAACAGACATCCTTGGAAGAGGGAGAAATTCCTTGGTTACAGTACAATGAAGTCAATGAAAGCAGCAGTGATGAGGGAAATGAGCAGGCTAATGAATTTGCACAGCCAGAGGCTTTCATGTTGGACGGGAACAATAACCTTGAGGATGACTCCAGTGTGAGTGAAGATTTAGATGTGGACTGGAGGTAGGTAGCACCATGCTTAATTATTCATTGAGTAGAATTTGTTCATGATTCTAAATTATGAAAACGGAATCTCTGATAGCTAAAAAGTATTCTTACTAGTATTTCCCCATCTCTCCTTCAAAGCTCATTTCAGAGGTCACTTCATACAGGGACTCCTTCCTACTTATTCCAGTGACCTCTTCCTTCTTTGACATTTAGCTCTTTTAAAGTTTACCTTATTATATCCCATTGAATTATACACTCATGGTTTGAGATTTCCAACTTTTAAATTTACCCTTATATGCTAAATGTAGCACTTAGTATATTCCTGTGTGTGTGTATATGTATGTGTGTGTATGTGTTTTAAACAAGATTCTGAATATTATTTGAAGAATTTTAAAACCTGTGGTTAAATCATAATCATAAAATATAATTTTCTTTCTTTATATTTTTTGAATAGAAACTATAATTGTACTTTCCCAGAACTGTTGAAAGTATTAGATTTAGGCTGACAAAGAATAGCTTCAAGTAAAAGTAACATGAATTAAGTACATTATGTCTCATGATGGTTAGAATAGATGTATCTTTCAAGTGTGCAGTAGCCTTTCGTAAGCAGCTAATTATTGGAGATGAAGAAAGGATGTTCCAACTGATCATTTTTGTTATTTTTTCTAGGAAGAATATGGCTTAGTACTACTCATATTTGCATGTCTGCACAGAAATATTTTTAAGAATATGTCTTGTATTTTTCAGTAAAAATATCATTACAGAAAATTTAGAAAAATAAAGATAAGAAAAACTCTTTTATATCCCCTGATACTTCTACAAATTTTATTTTTTTAAGGCATCCTATATATCCTCAATTTCTCTGTGTGTAGCTACTTGTGCTTCTCTTTACACAAAAACTCAACATCTCCTTGAAATTTTTCTTACCGTTTTTCTGTTCTCATTTCCATGTATAGTGGGGGAAGAGAATTATATGTGCAAAGCAGATTTCTATTGACCATTTTGTGGAAATAAAAGTGGAATTTCATCACAGCCACAAAAACAATCTGCATTTTTATCTAAAACATTCCCTTTCTCCAGAGCCCATTTTCTGGCTTCCCAAACGTTATGGAAAATCAATGACTTCACCTAGTTCTGACCTTGCTGATCTTCCTCTATAAGCCCTCTTACTGAACTCATTTTTTTATGGTGTCTTATTTATCCATGTATAAAATCATTCATTCCTCAAAATAACTCAGTAGATGATAGAATTATTTATTTAGATCAGTGTTCACTAACCGGTGGTCCATGGACCACTGGAGGTCCAAAAGGTTGGCAATCGCTGATTTAGATCATCTGTGTATGTCAGGAGGTAATTTTTATTTCATTTTTATCTATTGCATATTTTGAAAATTTTGTAAAAAATAATTTTTTTTACATATCGATATATTTTTATTGATTTCAGAAAGGAAGAGAGAGATAGACACATCAATGAAGAAAGACAATCATTGATTGGCTGCATTTTGCTTGCACCACACTGGGGATTGAGCCCATAACCTAGGCAGGTGTCCTGCATGGGAATCAAACCATGACATCCTGGTTCATAGGTTGATGCTTAACCACTGAGCCACGCTGGCTGGGCTTTAAAAATAATTTTTTACAGTTCCTTTATGATGTGCCATTCCATAGATGCACTACAATTTAATTGTGTTATTTCTTCCTCTTCCCCCATGAAATTGGATCTAACTTCAGGTTATTTCTTTAGGATAGATTCATAGAGGTAACATTACTGAGAATTGTTAAGATCTATATATTTTTAAAAAAATCTTTGTATATATTTCTAAGTAACTTTCAAAAGTGTTGTTTCACATATTTGAAGAAATAATTGAGATCTTTATATTTGTTGAGGAATTTATATTTGTTGCTAATTGTCCCAAAATTGGGAAAGCTTCATAGATTTTTTTTAACTACGTATAGAAAACATTTAGCATTGATTATTCAGACAGAATTTTTTAATTTTATGTAAATATAACAATACTTTATCATTTGTTTATATCAGACTAGAGATTTTTTTTCTACAAACTTTGTACAGTGAGTGTGGCAGTCTTTTGGAGAGGTGATGGCATCCTAATTTCTTATGCTTAGCATTAAACTTTTTTAGTGGGTTCTTTCTGCCCATCACCCAACAAGATTTCTGTTAAAACTAGAGGCCTGGTGCATAAATTCGTGCATAGGTGGGGTCCCTCAGCCCTGCGCGATTGAGATCTATCTGGGGGCCAGGCCAGCAGGCCAGTAGGGGGAGGGGGAGGGGCAAAGGAGGTTGGCTGGCAGGTCAGGGGGCTGGGACATTGGCTGTCAGGGGGGCGAGCCATGGAAGGTTGGCTGTGAGAGCAACTCCGGCATTAAGTGTCAGCCCCCTGGTGGTCAGTGCACATCATAGTGACTGGTTGATCTGTGGGATCGGGCCTAAATGGGTGATTGGACATTCCTCAAATGGTCCCAGATTGGAGAGGGCATAGGCTGGGCTGAGGAACGCCCCCCTCCCCTCCATGCATGAATTTCATGCACTGGGCTTCTAGTCTATAATAATAAAAGGGTAATATGCTAATTAGACTGGACATCATTCCAGGTGTCTTTTCAGATGAAGCTAGGGATAGAGGGAGCCTGGATCCTGGGTGCCTCCTGACAGCCAGAGGGAAGCCAGCCCAGGTCCCGGGTGCCAGAGGGAAGCCGGTGTTGGCAGCCAGGGGAAGGAAGGCCTACTCTTGCATAAATGTTGTGCATTAGGCCTCTAGTATTAATATAATTATGTCTTCAATTCACCATAAAGATTTCCCAAATCATGCTCGTATTATTATTATTTTTTTTTTCAGTCTGTTTGATGGCTTTGCAGATGGATTAGGAGTTGCTGAAGCTATTTCTTATGTGGATCCTCAGTTCCTCACCTACATGGCACTAGAAGAACGCTTAGCCCAGGCTATGGAGGTATTTTAATGATTCTGATGCCTATGTATAAGTTGGTGGGGTGCACAATGAGAAAAAGTAAAAGACTTTTTTTAACTGCTCTTAAGAAAAGGTGAATAGTTTCCTAAACAATTTAATAACAACTGCTGATTACTGATTGCAACCAGTGTATATATATAAATTATACTTCACATCCTGCCAATTTTTCTAAAATTGGTTTCCCAGTTTTTACTACAGAATGGAAAACGTTTTGCTTACATTTAGAATATACATTTTCCCTCAATTAAATTATATGGGTCTTTGAATTTGAAAATTTTATACACACATGCACAGGTATGATTGTGAAATGAAATTGAACATCTCTAAGAATATGTTACAAATCACTTTCCTTTTTTTGTTCACACAGATTTTAAATATTATCTTTTGCTTAATGTGTACACATCTTAATAAATAGCACATTTGGCCGAGACCGGTTTGGCTCAATGGGTAGAGCGTCGGCTTGGGGACTGAAGGGACCCGGGTTCGATTCCGGTCAAGGGCATGTACCTTGGTTGCGGGCATATCCCCAGTAGGGGGTGTGCAAGAGGCAGCTGATCGATGACTCTCTCTCATCGATGTTTCTAGCTCTCTATCTCCTCCCTTCCTCTCTGTACAAAATCAATAAAATATATTTAAAAAAAAATAAAATAAAATAAAAAAATAAATAGCACATTTGATTTCTAAGTTTGTCTTGCCTTCTGTCTTTATTTGATCATTTTGAAAAATTAAGCTAAAATAATGTATAGTTTCTGATTTTTTTCTTTTAAATTTAACACTAACATTCTTTAAGTGAAACTAAAACAAATAATAAGACAATCTGTGCTTTTATTTATTTATTTATTTATTTATTTATTTATTTTTCTCATGCAGCCCTAACTCTTTGGTAGTAGTTGTTTTTATTTCTATTACTTCTCAATAGTAGACTGATATTTCTTTTCAGGTAATGATTGTTATGAAAATAGTGTCAATAAACATTTGCCTTATAGCTGTGTCTCAAATTTGAATAAGAAAAGGGCAAAATAGTTAAGGTTTTTAACTGTTTGAAACAATATTGAAGCTCCCAAATTTTTTGGGCAAAAGTATCCCTGCCATTTACATTGACATCTAAATATTTACAGCCTAAATTCTAAGTAATATTGTTTATCCTATCATATCTCTATGCAGTAAAAATATATTTAAGGATTTAAATGTAAAATGAATTAAAATTGTTAGTTAAATTTATTTTTTAATGACATTTATTGGTTAATAAACTTATAGAATTCAAGTGTATAGTCTTGATAGGTTATCTTTATATTGCATATGTTAATTTTGATAAATAATTATTTAAACATAAAGTAAAATGTTACTGGTAAAATGTATCTCTTAATGAATGGAGGCTTTTTCTCCCTCATTACCTTAAGAGTTAATTTTATTTATTCCTACAATGAGACATAGTTCAGCATCAACTTTTATTTCTTTCTTTTTTTTCTTCATCTTTATGAATATAAGCTTGAAAGACTTTGTTCATATAAGCGATAGGGATGGAAGGAATTTATCATAGCCTTTTCACTCAAGTCTTGTTAAAATTATATCAACTTGGCAAGTTGTTTAGATCTTCTTTTAGTTTTTTTGAAACCAGAGGATTGGAAGCCATCTACAGAGATTTGTTATTCAGTCCTTAGAATTCAGTTTGACGCAAGTATTTCAGATTGCTCCTTTGGATGGATAAGAAGTATATTTTTATTTATAAAGTGAGGGATGGTTAGCAGAAAGGAATGTAAGAACAGGGCAGCATGTTGCCTTTAACTGCAGATGCATTATTAGGCAGATCAAGTTGAGGAAAAATTACATAAGAAAGATCATTGAAAATTGAGTCTCTGAGAAACCTACTTGACCTTTGGCCCCTTGAAAGCTTCTGGTCCTCGTCTACAGAATGGGAATAAGAAAATTTACTTCATGCACTATTGTGAAATTGTGTTTAAGCACTTAGCAAAATACCTGGTACAGTGGGTAGGTTCTCAGTAAGTAGATATTCAAATTAGTAGTCAACCAACTGGTACTCATCTTGCATATCTGAATTCAGTGGTCATTATTAAATCATTTGTTATAAATATCCATTCTTTAAAAACTAAATTCTGTTTTATTCTTTAGAAACTAATTTTTCTTGCTGACAAAGGGATGTATTACTTTAATTCTAAATATATTCCAGTTAGGCTGTTTAAGCTGTTTAATCATTTTTCTAACATTTGGACTAACTTTTGAAAATATTTTGTACTTCCTCAGATGTAGATAGATTTTTACATCTTTATAGATTTTCATATCAGTGTCTATAAAATGGTTTCTCTTGCTCTTATTGCTTATAAGTGATCCCAGATCACCTTAAATATTTGTCAGTATCAAGGCAATAAATTATTTCTACATATATGAAATTCTATGTATTTATTAGCATAGCAAATGTGTAGATAATCATTAGAAAGAATAATGAATCCATTAAGACAAACATGTTATCAAAGTACAGTTAACCTAGAATAACACTCCCAAAATGGAACTTATTAAAAATAGTATTTCTTCTTTTGTTTATGTGTAACACAGATGAATTCTTGCAGAGTCTATCTTGAGAAGTACATAAGGAATTGGAGGAGATTCATGCTTGTAGTTATGTGAGAAAGGACAAATAACAGGCTCTTTCCATTTTCTTTCTCTTGATGGGAAAGTTGACTATAAAGAATTATCTAGAATAATAAAAGCGTAATATACTAATTAGATTGGACAGCCTAACGACCTTCCGGATGAAGCTGCAGGGGGCCAAGGTAGAGGCAGTTAGGGGTGATCAGACAGGCAGGCAAGCAGTTAGGGGCTATCAGGCAGGCAGGCAGGGGTGGTTAGGGGTGATCAGGCAGGTAGGCAAGTGGTTAGGGGTGATCAGGCAGGCAGGTGACTGGTTTTAGGGACAATCAGGCTGGCAGGCGAGTGATTAAGGATGATCAAACAGTTAGGAGCCAGCAGTCCTGGTTTGTGAGAGGGTGCAGGCTGGGCTGAGGGCTTTCTTCCCCCATGCACAAATTTTGTGCACCAGGCCTCTAGTTAACTATAACGGGATTAAAGTAACAAGGGATTGCTTAGTAAGGAATAAAGATAATTCTAAAGAATATAGAAAAAACATGTATAAGGAGCAGCCACCACCTGGAGAGCAAAGGTCACCTAAGGAAGGGTCACCACTCACACTCCAGGGCTGGGATCCAGATCTTGATGAAAATGGCATAGCTGTGGCTTACTGAATGGCAGAGAAGTCACTGGTGCTGTGCTGGCAGAGCTTGTTGGAAATCAGCCTTGTAGGATGCTAGGGAAAGCTATTCATAGGGAGATGTCTGATGGGAAGCACTCTGCTACGGAACTGTCCAAGGGGATGCTGAAGAATCTACCTGCCACTTAGTGCTTCTGGCTGCATGCATTTCCAGAGCTAGACATTGAGAAGCTGTGCATATTGCAGGAGTCTGGTGCTAGTGAAAACCACACCTGCCACAGAAGTCTGCCAAGTGGAACACTGGGATCAGAAGCAAAGTCTTTTTCCTCTTACAGCATCTCTTTAGTGTCCTCTGTGAACGAGCTTAACAACATGTCAGATGTCAGAAGAGAAAATATTTAAGTGGCCCAAATCCATTTTCACAGAGCTGACAAAAATAGTGAATTTTGATTTGAGGAGCAATCATTAATAACTAAAAACAGTTATTTCTTTCACTATTTGGGTTCCATATATACCTTTCTGCACACATTTGAATTCCCAACTTAACTATTTTTATGTTGTGTATTTTTTAACAAATTGTTGTTAAATACTAGTTATTTTAATACTGTTGTCATTTATCCTTTATACTTGCCTAAAGTGGTTAATACACCATCATATTACAGTATCAGAGCATTCTGAATTTGACTATGTATTTACCTTTAGCACATTTGTTTATTCATCTATCAATAGATAGTTGGGTTGTCTCACCTTTTTGGACTTTTGTATTTAAGTCCTACTTGAAGTTCTAATCTAATTATAGCCAGCAAAGTGAACCTATCCATAAAAGGATGATAATGACTTTATTAGATGATCATATGATCTAATGTTCTTTCCTTCCTTGTTAGAATAGTAACTAAATGCAAAATTTTGAACCCTTGGATAAAGTTCATAATCCAGATAACTTAGTAATACTAAATACTAGTAAGCTAGTAATGTGGGTGTGCTGACTCTATGATAGTAGAAGATATTGCTCTTCAGGAATACATTATTTGGTTCCATACCTTGAACATCTATTAACCACTAGAGGCCTGGTGCATGAAAATTCATGCACTGGAGAGGGGGTCCCTCAGCCTGGCCTGCCGCCCCCCTCTCTTCCCTCCGCCCCCAGTCCAGGAGCCCTCAAGGATAGAAGGCAACTCATTGATCCGGGGAAGGTGATGCCCCCATCACACCTCTGCTGCTGCCACTGCTGGCAGCACAAACCTTGGCTGGCCCTGGTTACTTGAGCCTTGCATAGCCCTGGGCGGCTGGGCAGCCACCATTTGAGGCTTGCCTGCGCCTTGGGTCAGTCCTGGGCATCTTGGGGACTGAAGGGTCTGGGGAACTCAGGAGGAAGGTGTGCAGAGCAGCCGGATCCACCTGGAGGAGGGTGTGGCCGTGCTGTGTGCCTGCTGCCCCAACAGGGCTGAGGGGACTGGGTGTAGGCTGTGGGCCCCACCATCTTGAGGGTGTAGCAGTCAGTTTGCATATTCCTTCCTTATTGGCTGTGGGTGCTGCCATATTTGGAGGGCATGACAGTCAGTTTACATATTCCCTATTTATTAGATAGGATGGCTACATTTCATGATTTGAACCTGTTCAAAATGTTTACATTCTTTATAGTATTGATCTCGTTCAGAAACTTAAGTTGGATGAGGTAGCCACTCTTCTGAAAATATAAGTAGGGCTTTTATTTTTTGGTATGTTTTTTGTTTGATGGTAGTGATTATGGATCCTTTTGAAAGGAGGCAAAAAGGGCAGGGGACTGAAGCAAAATAAACTAACAGAAGAGACTAATGGTGTATATAAGTTTGGAAGATACCTTAAAAATAGTTTTCTATTACTGCTTTAAAGTGTTTCCTAACAAAGAGATGTAACTTTTATTTTTCAGACTGCCCTAGCACATTTAGAGTCTCTTGCAGTAGATGTTGAGGTGGCCAATCCACCAGCCAGTAAGGAGAGCATTGATGGTCTTCCAGAGACACTTGTTCTTGAGGATCATACTGGTAAGAAGGGCCAAGTTTATCTCTAATGCTGAATGACACATTGCATGTTTAAGTATATGATTAAGGCACTTAGGAGATAAAGTACTATTATAAACTCCTACTATGTTTTGTATGAAACCAGATTCTGAAAAACTCTTAACCAGTAGAAGAGTATTTTTGATTTATTAAGTGATAGGTTGGGACAAATGTTCCCTAGTCAACTTTCTACAAAAGCAATGTTTATTAAATTTCAAATGGTCTTGTATTAGAAACATGTTTAACAATTTTTGATCAAAGTCTGGTTCATTTGTCTTTCACAGGAATCATTTATGAATTCATATGCTGATTTTCAATTTTATTAAAATTGAACTTCATTGCATTAATATACCTAATTATTTGTTGTTTTTAGCTATTGGTCAAGAGCAGTGCTGTCCAATCTGTTGTAGTGAATATATTAAAGATGATATAGCGACAGAGTTACCCTGCCACCATTTCTTTCACAAACCTTGTGTCTCAATTTGGCTGCAGAAGGTAAGTTTTAGATTTACTTCCTTTAATATTTTAATAGTTTTCTCCTATAAGTTACTAATGATAGTAGTGCCTTTTAATCCTATTTATTTCGCTATGTACTCATAGTTCTTTTGAGTTCAGTTTAATTTATTTTAATTAAAGTTGGTTACCTTTTAATGACTACAGATTAATGATAATATCAAACTATTTTACTTTACTAACATTGTCTAAAAAACAGTATAGACAACTTGAACTATTAACATAACATATTTAATTATATTCCATAAATTAGGTGTTTTCATAAATACCTCAAGCAAAGAAGCTTTTGGCAATACTCAGTACTGTAAGAATATACTGATATTCTGATAATATGTATCAGTGCTTTTATATGAGAAATGTTTAATAAACTATCAACTGTCTTTTATTCAAACTTTCATATATTACCCTAAAATATTACCCCCAATTTTTAAGTATATTTGAGTTATATACTTAAAGGAATATAGAATTTTACTTAAATCTCTGTTAACTCTGTTAGTCATAAAGAATATTTACATGCAGTTCAGTGGAAATTCCCAAATCACTTTCCCAGCTTACTTAGTTATGGAAATAACTCTCTTCCCTACAACAGCTTTCTTCCTTTCCCCTTCCTTTCTTTCTCCCATCCTCTTTCTCTCCCTTCTCTTTTGTTGCTGTTGCTCCCCTTAAAAGTAAAAACTCTTAACACTTAATATCAGTGCAGAAAAAGTCACCATTCTTTTATAAATTCTAAAGTTTCTGTCTTGGCTTTTAAGTCCTGTGATCTAGCTCCCAGACTGTCTCTTCAGATTTACTTCTGTACCTTTGTTCCTGTGCTTAGCCTGGTGTAGTCTTCCTCTGTATCAGAAAGATTAGATGGTCCTGCTTAAATTCCATCTTTTCTGTTTTTATTATCTCCATTCTTTAAACATCTACAATAGTGCCAAAGCCTTAATAAGGATCTAGTGTTCTGTGTGTCAGGAACTGCTAGATGATTCATGTGTATTTTCCCATTTACTCCTCACAATAACTCTGGTACATATAGAATGGGGCAAAAGTAGGTCTATAATTGTGAGTACATGAAACAGTTTATCCTTCAATTATTACTTATTACTTATTCTATTATTTTTATACAAACAACTGTAACCCTACTTTTTCCCACCCTGCATTGTTATCTTTATTATCATTTTCCAATGATTGTTACTTGTATAAGGTTACACAGCTAGTATGTGCTTGGGTAGAAACCACACACATCTATCTGACTCTAAAATGTTGCTATTATGGCCCCAATCAGGATGGCAGGTGCCCAAAAATGTTGGCAGAATTAAATTCTTGAATTGTAAACATGTATGTTTTATAGCCATGACTTGTCCTTTACTTGGCTATAACTCAAGGCAATAATCTCTGTATAGTTTCCTTCCTGTCAGGAAACAGCTTAGTGTGAAGCCTTTCCTCTAGGGAGAAGGTTCCCAAGACAAAAATCGTGATCACCTTTAGCAGGTTGATTTCTTCAACCTGCTTTCTATCAGGGAGGTTGCTTTGGGAAAAAGACTAAACTTGCAAAAGAATAATTTTAACACCAGATGACATATCTCTGGAACTTTTGTTCCTAAAATGGTAAACTCCCAGAATAACTGCTTTCCCTGTCCCACCTTCCCTGTCAGGTCTGTGGTTGATGTGTTTTGTCATGTAGAAAGCATCTAACTCTACACATCATCATCAGTATCATCACCAAAATAGATGAGGACATGCCCTGTAACTCCTTGCTCATTCCCTACAGCAGCACTAGTGCCAACCAGGGAGTGTAGTGGACTCTCAACGAATAGTCATTAAATGAAAGATGAGTGATGTAAAAGATACAAACATGATTGAGAGACAGTTTACCCTAAAGGAATTAGTGTCTGCTTGGGATAAAAGAAAATAGCATAAAAAAATGTTCCTCTCTATTCTGTGTAGGTTTGAAGTTTATTTTGTTTTTAAGTAATTTGTTTTGTTTTTAGGGTAATGATATTGTTTGTCTTTCTTAAGATGCTTGTGTGGTAGTTAAGACCTTCTCATTGGCTATGAACTTGTTCTTCTCCCTCCAGTCAGGAACATGCCCTGTGTGTCGCCGTCATTTCCCACCTGCAGTTATTGAAGCATCTGCAGCTGCTTCCTCTGAGCCCGGTCACGATGCCCCACCTTCAAATGACAGTACTGCAGACGCTCCTTAAACCTTAACACTTGAATGAGATCATTCTATAAAGTAAATCTGAAAATTCCTTCTAAACCTGATGTGCAAATAATTATATATAAATATATTAAAATGCTATATATAGTCTATGCCATAGTTTAGAAAGATAATGTTGACCTTTCTAAACTAAGTATAGGTTTGCAGAAAGTACTAACATTTTCAAGCTGAATGTAGAAGCAGTACATCCATTATTTTTAGTTGAAGGTGTTTATATTAATTGTATAAGTCAAGCTTATCACTTAACTCTCTCCAGAAGAAATAATCATCTGTGTGGCATGCGTTACTGGTTTTCTCTGAATATTGCCACTAAGTGATTATGATTAGCTCTCCTATTTGTATCAAATGTGAAGACTATAATCCCAACAGTAGTAAAATTTGGTTTCACTGGAAATAAAAAGAATTCTAAAGAATTTTACAACAGTAGTAAAATTTGGTTTCATTGGAAATAAAAAGAATGCTTTTTCATTGGTCCCTTTGCTTTTGCTACATCAAAACCTTTGTTTATAATACTGAGTGGTTTTTTAGGAAGGTCTCTAGTCTTCCATTTTTGTTTAAAATTAGGACTTTTAAAGAATGTCAAACTGGCTAAAATTCTGGCTGAACATCACAAAATTTCAAAATTTTAAATGTAAACCCCTGGAAATGGTTAGGTATTTTTTTTTTTAATGTTGGATGTGCTTAAAGTCAGGTTAGTAAAGCATATGAACAATCTAGTGTGCTTGGCGCCTGGTGAATTAGATGGCCTTATAGAAATTCTTTCTACTTGGTTAAAATGATATTTGAAGGTTCAGAACACTCCTGGCACATTTAAATAAATAATTATTATGTATAGGTATTGTAAGGTGATTTTGGTTCTGAAATATTTTAGAAAGTTTGAAAACATGCATAAAGTGTTTTTAACACTCATTCTATTGTATCCTAAAGGAAAATCTGAATCCTTAGAAAACTATGTTAACTGTTCTGACTTGTATAAAGCATAAAAGTGATGGGGTATAGGACAGATTGGGCCATACCTGTTTTACAACATATCTAAGCTTTACTGGGTTATAATTTATTTCTTTAAAGTATTCCTGAACAATTATTATTTATATCACATTATCAGTATTTGTTTCTTTACACTAATTTATTTGGGTAAAATTATTTACCTGGAATTAAAATAAAAATAAGTAATTTCAAAATAAGCCATGGCTGAAAAGGAAGTAGATTATGTGATTGCCTAGTGACTGTGTGAACAGAACTTAATATGTAACACAGCTTCTTTCTTATTTTCCTTTGTTTAAAGGAGAAAAGAAGATCCTGACCTCAGATTTACCCTCTAAAAGAGTTTTCTGTTCAAAAGCTTCTACAAAAGTAAGGAAGTCAGCTTTCCTTATTCTTTTTATGGGAAATTGACCTACAAGGCCATCTTTGTAATTACATAACCCCCAACGAAGACTGCACAGCTTTCTGCTTAGGTGATCTCACCCAGTAGACAATTATGTATAAACATGGATGCAATATTTAACTTACGGATATGATTTGATATCAAACACCAGAGAATGATGGCTGTTAGAATACTACATTTGAGCAAGTAAAATAGTAAAGCACATAGTGAGTGTACATCCATTTGAGTAGAAAATTTATAATTTAGTTTGGGCATATGAAAGGAATATTTATGTAGTACATTTATAATTTAGTTTGGACAAATAAGAGGAATATTTGTGTGGCTTCCTAAATGCAAAATTACATTTATTTGTGTAATTTCTCTAAGTATTTATATTCCATCTCTTTTCTTCATTCTTAAAAATAAGTGAATTTTCACTGCTGTCACATTTGAGGCTTAAATATAAGGAATATAACACTTGCATTCTAATTTTTGCATATATTGTAAATGTGTCTGGTATTTACAGCAAATACTGTGTATCCTTTTATGAGTAAAACAAACTGAACATTGCATGTATGATGTGGTGACTTTATAACTTCGGGGTTCTTTGGGGCTTCTGTGACTTTGGAAATGCTTACATTCAGGCCTTAATGTTGCATTAGCTGGCATGTTTTCCTTCTGATGTACATAGGCTCTGTTGTATAAACTAATATTTGCTTGTTTTCTACTCTGTGATCTTTCCACACCATATTTCATTGATCAGTTAGTGTCAAGGAGTCAAATCAGATTAAAATTAATTCTCATGTGTATATTGTGAAAATTTGTGACTAGTATGATTTTGTTTCTTTTTTGGTTTCAAAAAATTTGTGGCTAGTGTGTTTTTTTGTTGTTGTTTTTTCCTTTAAGTAATATTGATCAGTTACTGGTTAAACTAACTGCTATAGATTTCTCTTTAATAAGCCACATGTTATATTTAGGCAGGATTAAGAGAGGTTGGTTTTCTTCTTTTAGATGGCAGTTGTCCCAAAGAAAATATTTCTTCTTTGCCTGTTACGATTTAGCTATTATCTGCCAGTTGTTAGACAGTTTTGGTTCCAAACTCAGCCAGCAGCGTTGAGAGCTGATCTTAAGATAGCTGTTGTACTTTTTGCTTTCCATCTGTTTCTGTCCTTCATTCTTGGCTCCCTGTTATCTATAAACAGCTGCTATGAAGGAAGAAAGTTAAATAAGAGTTAGATTATAAAAAAATTTTAAAAGGAGATTGAGGTTTTAGGTATGATTGAGGTTTTAGGTAAAGCTGAGGCTGATAAGTTCTGACACCAAAATATTGTTTGATTAGATTTTGGATCCTTTTGAAAAAGTTAAGACTACATGAAGATAAATTAGAAATAAGTATAAATAATAAAAATGTTTTTTCCCTTATTTCTCTATTGTATGTTAAGTGACTTGACCTAATAATTTTTTTTTTTACATTTTTTTCTTGTAATATAAATGCTGATATTTAAAGATAGATCAATGTGGTTTTCTTTTGTGTTGCTTAGTTGTTTATCTGTAAGCTAACTAACTCAAGATTATTTGTGATCTGGATTTATATATAAGCTGTTAAATATGTATGAACTGTTCAAATGGAATGCAAGTTTTTCAAAGCCCAGGTCTAAATGTAATGATTGGTTTATTGTTCTACAACTCCACTCATCATTTTCTGTAAATCATAAACAATAAACAGGATATACTCAGTGGTCATTTCTAATATTTAATTGTGCAGTCATATCACTTCTATAATGTAACCCCTGAAAGATTTAGCATTAATGGCAAAGGATACAGCTGTCAAGGAAGTCTGGAACAGGCTCCCAAGCATATGGTTTTATAGTCCTTGAACTGTGATCTAAGAAGGCCCCGCTGTATAGAAGTGGCTGCTGGACTTCTTCTAGAAAGGCTCTGAATTAGTCCTGCTCTCCCCTGCCCAACCATCATAGCAGTCCTGTGTGTTCAGCAGAGCCTGACTTCCACACTCACTCAGGAATACAGACACCCTCAAAATTCCAGGATGGACACCACCTCAATTCAGTGGCTTCACCAAATCAGGTATGGCAATATTGTCAAATACACCTACCTGTTTAGGAGGATTTGTCATGCTTTCCAGAAGGCTCAAAAACCTCACCCATTTCAGAAGGGTAAACTGAGAACCATCATGTCTGTATTAAATTAGAAAACTATAATCATTTTGATTCTGTCTTAATGCAATAAACATTTTTTAGAAAAACGCAGTCACAGAACCAGAAACAGCAATGGCACACCTCTTTCTAGTGCCAAAATCCATTTTTAATTATGTTATATATTTTTGAAGCCACTGCTTCCAGAGTTGGAGTCACTCAGCATTCCCTACAAGGGATGGATTTTGTTGTTAGAATTGTCACTCAAATGATTTTGTAAATAGCACGTATGTGAAATTAAATAGAAAGGTCCTGCCTCTTGTGTTTTGCATCTCTTTATGTCTTCCTTCAGGCTTCACACTTTTCTCAGATCTTTCGTGGTAACTACTCTAGACAGCCTGTCATTGATTCTCTCAGTCCCTCTCTTACAATATGGTGCTCAGTCCAGTTTGGCCTGTGGACTGAAGGGTCCTAGGTTCAATTCCTGGCCAGGGCACATGCCTAGGTTGTGGGCTTGATCCCCAATGGGGGGCATTCTCATCACTGGTGTTCTATTTCTCTCTGAAATCAATAAAAATACATATATATATATATATATATATATATATATATATATATATATCATAACTTCATAACTAAACACCATTCCTCTGTAGTCTGACTAGAGCTAAGCCCAGGAGGATTACTGCCAACTTCAGAGTGATTCTCCTATGACTGGTCTGTATTGGTATTATTTTTGTTACTGTACATTACTTGGCAGGCATATCACATGGTCTCTTGTGAGCTTTACAGGAGTTGGAAAGTCAAGTCCATTCCTAATAATTACTTAATTCATTCTTACCAAGTTTAACTTATAAAGGTCCTTATGATTCTTCCTCTTAGCCTCAGTCCAATTTTGGTGAAGCATGCCTTTGATATTTAGTGGTGTTGTCCAAGTCATTGATAAATATTGTCCAGAACAGGATGAATGCCACTATAGACTGTCCTCCAGGTGACTTTCATCCATTAGTCAATAATTTGAATATAGTTATTGAAGCAGCTACCAGTCACTTATATGCTCATGTTTCTTCATCTTTCCTAAAATGACTCTTAAGAAATTTTATTGTGTTTGGCCAATAGGCAGATTATACTGTGTATGGAAATAGCTTTGCCTGCTAGTATATTAAATCAAGAAAGGAAATGAAGTTAGCAGGAAATGCCTCATTCTTAGTAAAACCACCTCCTTTTCCAACTGCTCACAGGCCATCTCTTTATTAATCTGTCCTACAATTTGATAAATGATCATTTTCAAGCTCAATTTTCTAATTTTTAGAGTCTACTTTTTTCCTCTCAAAAATGTGATATTTGAAGTAATATGACCTTGACAAGCCATTTAATCCCCTCTGCTGCTGTTTTCTCTATAAAATAATGAATCTAAATTACCACTGGTTTGTGCATGAATAAAGTTTTTAATAAATGTTTTTT